CCAATCGTGTAGAACACAACCCATTTCATCTATAAAACACTGTATAATAAGATCACACAGAGAAGGCCACACCCCCATCTTTGTTGGCCCCTCACCAACTCTGGAACCATGGCACATTTACCACGAAAACGCCAACATGGGCAGAACAAGTCAGAGCACTGTGGTAAGAGTTCAGCTGCTTTAACAAGCTAGAGTAGGATTTTTACAATAGAGGCAAGTGGAATTCTCAGCACATACTGAGACACTGATTGTTTACACAAAAGTGCCAATTCACTCTTTTTTTTTCTTTTTTAACATTTTATTAGAGGCTCATACAACTGTTATCCCAATCCATACACACATCAATTGTGTAAAGCGCATTTGTACATCGTTTATCAAAACATTTTCTCTCCATTTAAACCCCCGACATTAGGTCCTCATTTTTCCCCTCCCTCCCCGCTCCCCTCTCCCGCATGAGCCCTTGATAGTTTATAAATGGGTATTTTGTCATATCTTGCCCTGTCCGACGTCTCCCTTCATCCACTTTTCGGTTGTCTGTCCCCCAGGGAGGAGGTCACACACAGTTCCATGTAATCGGTTCCCTCGTTCCTACCCATTCTCCCTTTACCCTCCCTGTTTTGCCACTCACACCACTGGTCCTATAGGGCTCATCCGTCCTGGATTCCCTGTATTTTCAGTTCCTATCTGTACCAGTGTTCACTCTTATCTACACAAAGGTTCACCTATCAGAGGCAGTAACTAATGAATACATATCGGAGATTCTGGCAGCATCCTGCGTATGTAGGATAATTAAAATACATAAACAGAAAGTTGTTCAATCTCTAAGATCAAATACAGATGATCTGCTGTCATTACACACGTGCTCACTATTGCGTCTCAAATGCGAATACCAAGTAAAGGCTTATAGCTTCCCATTCTGATTTGCTTAAGGTTCCCAAAGGTAATTTTATATGACCGTTTTTCATATTCTTTGCTGCATGTTCATAGTCATCCTCTTTCTGAGAGGCAAATTTGGAATTCTCATTGTAGGATACTGCTCCAGTACCTGCATTCATTTTAAGAATAGTTTATTTTCAATATTCTTAATCGTTTCTTCATAAAACTCCAGAAATGTCTTTTTGTAGACCAGTTTCATATTGTACTTCTTTGTCATTTCATTTAGCAATGGAAAATAGACCAAGAATTCAGGAACATCCACAACACCTTCCAAGTTGAAATCATATTTGCATCCAAATAATTGGTAAGTTCCTTTCTTCTGAAATTTCACAGTATCCATTTCATTTCCAAATGATTCTGTTTCTGAAGCTTCATGGTGTTTTATCAGATCAAAGCTATTTGGTGTGGGACTAATACAATAACAGCCTCTAGGGTTAAGTCTTTCACAAGCATTTCTAAGCATTGTGTCCTTCTGTTCATTGGATTCCAACGAGTAATGACCAACAAACTGACAATGGCAGGCATCAAAGAACATTTTTGAATCAAGGAATTTTCCGGTTAAAAGTTACTTTGAACAATCAGCAGTTATAAATTCTGCATTAAAATATATTCATTGTCAAAACAGCGATGCTTCATGTCAACAGACCATTGCTGGCACTGCTTGACAGAAACATCAGCAATATCAGCACAAACTAGCTTGTGAATTCTTCCCTTTTTCCATTTGAGCAAATCTCCACCTTTACCGCATCCCAGCTCCCAAACAGTAATATCACGTGTCTTTTTCTGTCACGCCTTTTCCAAAAATTCTCCAATGAGCACGCTCTCCATTCAATTATTAAAGTGTCTGAGGTAAAAAATACAGCTTTGGCAATGCTTTGCCAAACAAACTTCCCGATGTTCATTGTAATGAGCAGCCACCGTTGAGCTATGCCCTTCTTCCAAGCTTGCTTGTTTTTCAGAAACATCTTCAAGTTCAATTTTTCTCTTCTGCTGAACGCCAGCTCCAATGGAAGATATGTTAGTTGGAACATCATCGGCATCTATTGTCCTCTTCTTTGAAATGCCATCGTTTTCAAAACCTTTGTCCTCTGGGACAATTTCAGCCTCAAGTTTTCTTTTTTTGCATGAAGCATCTTTCCCACAATTGGAACCTTCCTTTATAAAAGTAATTTCATTTCCAGTTTTCTATTTGTTGAGGTGCCTACTTGCTCCAAGGTCGGAGCTTTTTCTAAAAGCCCAATCTCAGAAGCTGTTGTGTTTTCACTAATATAGTATATGAAGGCTCTATTTTAGAATTTTCTGGTGTTTTTGTCTCTTCAAAAGAGATTCTTCATATTCCTCAGTTTTTCCAGAATTTTCCATTGTTGATTATTGGGACCGATGGTAAAATTTTACAAACAATGCAGAACCGGAATCCACCCTTCCTTGTGTTTTTCTTTTACTTTGTCCCCTATTATTTGGAAGGTTGTGGGAAACAGAAGGATTTCTCTCAAGCTGTCTCCCTCAAATATATACCAGACTTAGCTGCTTGAGAATGACTGTACACTTGGAGGTCATCAAGAGTGGATTGGGGGTCATTCTCCCTGAGTTATCAGCTGTCTAGATCAAGCAGACACCACTGTTTATCCCACAACAAGTAGGGCCCAGAGTTATCAGCTGTCTAGATCAAGCAGACACCACTGTTTATCCCACAACAAGTAGGGCCCACCCCCTTCTGATAAGGATAGTAGTTGTCTGTTTCCTTGTAGGAGACACCAGAGAGGTCAAACCCACCCAAGGATGAACAAGATTAGACTGCCATCATGAATCTAGGGACCACCCATCTTGTCACATGTATACCCCTAGACCTTCCCATTCCTATAGGCACACCCCTAGCTCATCCCCTTCCTGTTATGCTTATGCCTATCATAGATCCCCTTCCTACAATGTGTATGCCTATTTTACTGCCCCTTCCTGTGATGTGTGATTCCATAATCATGTCCCCCTAAAGTGAGATAATGCGTGGTTAGCAATAAAGAAAGGAGCGAGCTCCGGAGCCCGGGAGGCTCTCCCCTGTTCCCAGGGCCCTCTCTGGCTCTCGGGCCAGGAGAGGCTCCCTGGTCCCTGAGGTTACTCCTGCTCTCGTAGCCGGGTTCCCTCCACGAGGACCACTAAGCAGGGTGGAGGTGAGCAATGCTACCATGTAATGTGTCTGACTGCATCATTGTAATATCTCTTTTATCTCTCATGCTCTCAATGACTCTAATATAATATATATCTCAACCATACAATTTTGCATTGCTGAAACCATGGTTAGTACTAGCAGTGGGGGGCTGGCCCCCACTCCCCTCCAAATGTAACTTAATACTACAGATGGTGTGAAATAATTCCTTGCTCTGTTCTGCTTTTTTTACACAGTCTATGTCTATGTATTCTCCTAGAGCAGAACTGTCATTTTGTTTGGAAAACAATTCTCATCCTTTTGGACTTATTGCAAGACACCTGGCTGAGGGAGCTGTTTTCTACATTCTTTAGTCAACCAATCAATTACTTTAACAGCTTCCCAACCTATGTGTCACCTTGCCTTTCCGCACCGCACGATTTGTATTTTAGGACACTGAATTTAGACCTTGTTTTTTTTAAATTATTTTATTGGGGCTCATCCAACTCCTATCACAATCCATACATCCATCCATTGTGTCAAGCATATTTGTACATACATTGCCATCATCATTCTCAAAACATTTGCTTTCCACTTGAGCCCTTGGTATCAGCTCCTCATTTTCCCTCTCCCTTCCCTCTCCCCTCTCCCTCATGAACCTTTGATAATTTATAAATTATTATTATTTTGTCATATCTTACACCATCCCACGTCTCCCTCTCCCTTGACCCACTTCTCTGCTGTCCATCCCTCAGGGAGGAGGTTATATGTAGATCCTTGTAATCTGTTCCCCCTTTCTCCCTCACCTTCCTTCCACCCTTCAGGTATCGCCACTCTCACCACTGGTCCTGAAGAGTTCATCTGCCCTGGATTCCCTGTGTTTCCAGTTCCTATCTGTACCAGTGTACATCCTCCGGTCTAGCCAGGTTTGTAAGGTAGAATTGAGATCATGATAGTGGGGGAGGGATGTCTCCTTCTCTAGGAAGTCTCCTCTATTTCCACGCCATTGATTTAATCATACTAAGAGGGTGCTTAAGATACTCTATCTTACCTTATAAGGTACTGATTGTTCAGTGTTATAATGTTCTGTTTACTTGTTTGCATTGTTCAGGGGTCTGTAAATTCTTTGGGAGATGCAAGCTTTTTTCACCATCTTGTCTGAATCATGTAACATACATACTCCTTCAGCCATAGTGATTGCTAACTAGATCAGTGTTGAATAAATGAGGACTGACAGCTTTGTTTTCCTCCTTCATATTAGGGAGGTATTTTTATCTTACAAATGAGGAATATTCAGGCCAGAAAAATCACCAGGTCATGTCATAAATTATTGGAATGATTTTGTCTTAGTCAAAGGTTAGTCTCTTCATATGATGCCAAGTACTACCCTAACTTTGAAAGCTGTTGTATTAATTATTCACAGACAAACAACTTGCTGTTCTATGACCATTCATAATTAAATGGCTCTCGGGGCATAACTTTTAAATGGATTTTCATTGGTGGGATGTTAATGTAACTAGAACTTTTAAATTGTTTTATAAATGGTGAAACATAATTCACTAGATATACAAGAGGAGGTATGTGAAAATATGTGAAATCGCGAACAAGGGACTTTTCCAATAAATCCAAACACCATGTATTTACTCTCTGTATAAATATCTTTGGGCAGAGTCAGACACAGCAAATGCTCAACCACTGATATCCAGGGTAATTACCACTGTTGTCAAAAACCCACTGTTTGCAAAGGCAGTTACTGCTTGTTCAGTAAATTTCAAATAGGCATCCACGCCCTTATTGGGGAAACAAAATCAGTTAGCGCTTCCTACATAAAAAAGGAAGTAGTTGTGCTTCTCAGAAATTCTCAGCCTTTGGGATGTAGGGGGAAAATCCTCTTAGAAAGAGACTGCTCATTGAAGTTCCGTGATTTAGAGAAGAGAGTTGTATCGGTAGAGGGGAGCCAGGAAGCACTTGGCCTGGAGCCTCTTCCAGCACTCTTCAGACACACAGAGATACTGCAGGCTTTCACAAAGGTAGGTCCCGGGACTTGCCTTCCTAGACTTTTGGGCTGATGGTTTCCTCACGGGTTGATCCTAGAGATCCTTGGCTAGAGAGCCCTTCTTGGGAGTGGAATGAGAGAGACCACTTCCTGTGATTCTAGATTGGGTGGTTCACCAAAAACTCACTGCCATCCAGTCCATGCCAACTCATAGTCACCCTATAGGACAAGGTCGAACTGCCCCTCTGAGTTTCTGAAGCGGTCACTCTTGATGAGAGTCGAAAGCCCACCATTTTCCTGTGGAGCAGCTGGTAGTTTCAAAGTGCAGATGTTGCAGTTATCAGCCCAACATGAACCACTAAGCCACCAGAGCTTCTCCAGGTGGTTCAAGGAGCCCTTTAAAGGTATCTTTAAGGTGTTTTGGGAGCAGTTTTTGCTGCAGAGGATGAAAACTAGGGAAGATCCATAAAGACTGAAGCTGGATAAAGTTGTTTACATTTTAGTTTTCTCTGAATCCATAACCCATCAGACAGCTGAGAGCAATACGTTACATTTTGAACTAATTGTTTGCTGCCCATTTCTTGATGTTTATTCTCTGCCTCCAATATATATTACATTAGCCTTTAACATTTAAGGAAAAAAATGTGCCTCATGCAGAATTGGGGGATGGGATATGGGGCAAATTCAACGTTCCCAGCCTTACATGTTTAAATTGCTCCATGAGGTAGATCTGTGGCCCATTTCTCCAACCGTCTCTGGTGCCATGCGCTGGACACTCGACCCCCAAACTGAAGCGACTCGTGGAGAAGTCCTGGGAAAGTACCTGCTAGCGTAATGAGCACATGGATGTCTGTGGTGTGAAGGGTACCTGTTGTCATTACCTGTCGTCAAGTCACCCTGATGCATTCAGACCACGTGTGTGCTGTGGTGCGAAGGCTGTCATTTTTAAGTGCTTTTGAGTTGTGATAGTGGTCCTAAGTCATTGAGGGTTTCCTGGGCAATTAAATGAACACAGGGTCAGAGATCCTTGGATAAATGGAGCACGCACCCTGAGTGACAAGAATCTGATATGTTACCACAGAAATTGAGGAAGAGACCCTTGGAAACATTTATTTTAATATAATATCTCTATCCTGGTGGAAGTTGAAAGTCTTATCGAAGAGCCATTAAATATAGAAACAAGCTATGTGGTAATCATTCTGTTTAGAAGAATAAATACCAGACTAGACCCAAGGAGTTGGAGGTTAAAGACGTTCCAAATATCCAAATCTTCCAAGTTGCTATTCTGCACTATTTTCACCCCCCTCCCCACTCCTACTTTGAATATAGTCCGTCAGTACCTGGTTTGTGAGATTTGCTACAACATTTCACAGAGATTTGTGAAGCTTTGAGGAAATATCTCACATATTTGCAGGTGCTGTTAAGTCTTAAATATGAAGGTCAGGCAGAGGCAAAGAAAATGCAGGGTGCAGACGCAGAAGCCCAAAATGCTCAAATGTCAGAGTAGGTCTTTTTTGTTTCTATCAAATCTCATGTCCCGAAACACAGTTCACAAAAAGGGCAGTTGCGATGGAGATATGTTTTTCTTCCTAATCTTTTGGTTGATCATACTTCCTCCTCTGTGAACACGAAGGATGATGACTTACGCCACCCCCTCTCATAAAGTAGGGTCTAAGATGCAGCCCACCTTTATCCTTTAACAGAAAATCCCTTCCAAAATGGGATCCTAAGCACCAGCCCAGGAGGCTAGAATCTGCAACACATCACAAAATGGATTAGGGCAGATGAGAATGTGGCTAAAATGGCCATGTTAAATAATCCACTACAGTTTAGACAACCAGGGGTATTTGACAAGACAGGACCTACAATTCCTAAATCCTTGTTCTGAAGTTACGTGTGAGAGAAGACCGAAATGCCTTTACATTACAACGGTGGTTCTCAACCTTCCTAATGCCACGATCCTTTCAGACAGTTCCTCATGTTGTGGTGAACCCCAACCATACAATTGTTTTTGTTGCTACTTCATAACTGTAATTTTGCTACTGTTATGACTCATACTGTAAATATATTATATGCAGGATGTATTAGGCAACCCCTGTGAAAGGGTCATTTGACCCCAAAGGGGTCACAACCTACAGGTTGAGAACTGCTGCATTAGAGAGAAACAAGCTAAAGTACAATACATTTTTCCTTTTGGGAGTAAGTGATGAATGAAGATCAAATTATAAGCCTTGTTATAATGACTCCAAATTAAGATCATAGGGGCCATTCTTCCAGGTAAAACTGGATTAAAGGTTGTGGATTTGATTTAAGGCCAAAATGAAGGTCCTTATTTATTCTCACTCCTCTCCAAAATCCAGATCTTAAATTTTGCAAGAGGATGCTCAAATGTGTAGTTCAGTCTGAATACATCTACTCAATAGCATTCAATATATACCCTGGCTTACCAACTCATATTTCTTCATAGCAGACACTGCAATTAAAAGGTCTGCCTTTTCCTAGTCCTGTATCTAGTTTGTGACAACCCTCACTCTTCTGAACAGTCTTTGAAACAAACTGCAGATGATAGTAAGACCCAAGCACTGAGCACATGGCAAAAGGAAGATCATGCTATCCCCGCAATCCTGTCCCTACCCCTTCCCCCCCTCCCCAGGAACAGAGCAAACCAGGAATGCTACAAATAAACACCCTCTTTAACATATTGAAGGAGCCCTGGTGGCATAGTAGTTACATGTTAGGCTATGA